AAAAAAAAAAAAAAAAACTGAAGGAGTTAGAAATTATAAAAGACTGAGTGAGCTTCCTCGGAGAAACCAAGGGGTTATGTTAATTGACTGGTGCTACTTCTTAATTATTGAATTACTTATTAAGGAGATTAATGCTACTTCCAAGTGGTCTGATTTGCAGTTAGCTGGTTTCTTTGGGATATGGTCCTAAATGCACATTGGCCTGTACTGTCACTCTGGACCACACGGTGAGTGAAACTTCTGCGTCTATTGGACTCTTGATCATAAGATTTCAATTTTAACCATTCTTGTATTCTGTCCAGTAGTTTCTTTTCTTTAAAAACAGACTATTATGGAGCTCACTGGGAGCTGCATGGGATTATGTAACATGTTCCTGTAGCTGTTTACTGACTTGTTCTGAGTGTATGTTAATGTATTCAGTCATGTTTCAAAATCAGATTTAAGATAAAAAGTTTCCATGCAATTACATTTCCTCTTAAATAGAATATATTGAACACAAGGAAATTAAAACATATAGTTTTTATGATCAGTCCTATCAGTTAGTCAGAAGACATTGTAAATGTGAACTGGCAAATTTTCAAACATGTATTTCATATTCAGTGAGACTAGAACAGAATTTATAATCTCGTCTGAAGATTTGAACTGCTTTATGGGGTTTTAACTGAGCCAGTGAGGAGACTATAACTGTTTTGAATGTTGTGGTCTGAGAATAAACAATTTTTTTAGACTAGTTACCATTTTTTAATATGCAATAAGTAGCTTCCCTCTCATTTATCTCAAATAGACACTAGAAAAGTACTTATTTGCTTTGACTGCTTAGCACATTGGTTTTTTTTTTTTTTGGTTTTGGTTTTTTTGAGACAGGGTCTCACTATGTCGTTGAGACTGACCTGGAACTCACTGTGTAGCCCAGGCTGGTCTCGAACTCAGTGATCCTCTTGCCTCAGCCTCCTGAGTGCTGGGATTATAGGCGAGCACCACCACGTCTAGCAGCACATTGTTAATTATCAAATGAATATATCAATCGGCAGATAACATCAGAAAGCATACTTTTTAGTTCTACTGTAAATATCTCGGTCCACATAGATTTAAGTTCAGAATAAAGCGAAAGAACTTTCAGAGTAATGTTTTTAAAATGAAAGTAACAAGGTGCTTTTCCAGTATAAATGCCCATCATAATGTTTGTCCATCCACAAATATTCATTGTGTGCAAAGTGCCAATTATAGAGCTTTGGATACAGTGGTGGAAATGAGAGACCAGGTCCTCCTGTGGAGCTTGAGTCTGGCAAGAGAAGCACAGAAATAATGATAGAAAGCAGAATGACCAGTGCCAAGGCCCACAGGGACGACCCTGAGAAATTCAATCTTTGTTTTGAAGCACATGTTTTTATCCGGCTGACATTGTGGTTATCTAAGTATTTTCTTATTTTATAATGGTTCCCTATGGAATTAGCTATATTAAAAGCAGCAAATGAAGATTTGTACAAATACGGTGACCGCTGATTTTCAATCCTTCACTCTTAAGACTGGGGATACTTTTGTTGATCCTGCTGACGTTGAGGCATCGACCCATGGATAGTGTCCCCAGGAGCCTTGTTAGATTCCCGCAGTTATGTGTGGAGCTGACAAATCAAGATGTGATGGCACAATTAGAGAGCAAGAGAGTTCTGTGAGCCTTAAGAAGTTAGTTACTAACGTACAGCTGTCCATCCCTGTTCATTAAAAATTGCTGCAGACTAAGCAAACGTGATGTTATAGATTGGATTCATCCCTTGATGTAAAGTCTCCTTGAAGAGTTCTTTGTGTATTGCCTCCACTCGGGGAACTGTGACATGGTCAGTTTCAGGGGATGATGTAGCCTTACAAACTCCTCTGTTCTTTAAAGGAACAATGCAAGCCTGCATTGGCATTATCCATTAGATTCTGTATTTCTTTCTTGTAATTGCTTGAAACCCGCATTTATTCCCTTAAAGTTTTGGAGGCCAGAAGTCCAAGCATGAATTTGCAGGGACTCTCTCTCTCTGACCTCTGTTCCATCTTCTTACACCCTCTGTCTCTCTCTCTCTCTCTCTCTTTTTTTTTTTTTTTTTGGTACCAGGGATCGAACTTGGGACCTTGTACTTCTGAAGCAGGCAACGGAACCACTGAGCTAAATCCCTGGCCCTATCTTTTCTTTTTTTTTTCTCATTGAGTTTATTGGTACATTTTAGGTATCTAGTATTCCCCGGCTCTATCTTACACTCTGTTGCTGTCACTGTCCTACTTCCCTAACGTGCAGACTCTTGGTACTACACAGGATCATCTCTGTTTCTCAAGATATTAACTTAATCACATCTGCCAGTTCCCTTTTTGCTGTGGAAAATAACATACTCACAAATTCCACGAATTGAATTTGGGCATCTTAGTGGAAGAGAGCATTATTCATCCCACCACAGGTAGCTCAGCATGGATGGAATTCAGGGCATTTGGGGTCTATTGCGGCCAGGATGTGTGCTTTTAGCTCACTTGCTCATGACAGTTTTGCAAAGAAGAAGTCATATTTTTTTTTTTTTAAATGATGGGGAAACTGGTTGGCAGTGAAGTACCTTTCCCAAGTCTGCTAGTCCTGGGTCCTGGGCATGATGGACTCAAGTACATCTGTTTCTAGGCCTCATGAATTTTCTGCTACAGCCTATCTAGTGCTTGTTAGAAATGCAGGATCTACCAAGTGTGGTGGTACCATCCTGTAATCCCAGCACTTGGGAGGCTGAGGCAGGAGGATTGCCTGAGTTCAAGGCTAGTCTGGGCTACGTAGTGAGTCCAGGGCCAGCCTGAACTACATAGTGAGACCCTGTCTCAAAAGGAAAGAAAAAAAAAAAAAAAAAAAAAGAAAGAAAGAAATGCAGAATCTCTACCCACCCAGAACTGGTGGGTCAGA